CTGATTTTGAAGTGTGGATGAAGAGAAATAATGCAGCACTACACAGGGAATTGACCAGCACAGAAGAATAAAACCTTCAGGTGTCAGATTCTGCATCAGTACAGTAGAGCTAAAATTATGCCACTGCTTCTTCAAAGAATTTATGCATGCAATGAATTCTATGAACTGGGAAGTGTTTCAAGTCTATGTCATGCTTAAGCGATAGGGTTAAGACTCTAAAATATGACCATAAATTATATTTGGCACTTGCAGTCCCCTAATTAAGAACTACAGCAGTTCATTCTCTGTACTGTAAGCCTCTGTAATGTCTTAATTATTGTATTAAGTGTAATCAAAAAATAGACATTTTTAACAGGTTCTTCAAATGCAGCTTAGGTGCACCACCTGTATATCACTAACCAAAAGCCCCATTATGGCATGGCTTCATCTTTGTAGGAGCAAAACAGATTTCACCGATACAGACCTGCATAACCACATTTTATTGCTTAAAAGGATCAAGCTGGTTGAGATTGTGGAATCAGTATATTCAGGCAGAGAAAAAGGTAACATAAGCTCAGTCCTTACAGTTGCAAGCTCATGTTGAAATTAAAATGAAACAGATCTGCTGCTGCAACCCTTTTTCCCCCCTGAAATGTACAGGTCTCTATGAAAAACTGCGTCTTCTAAACCTTCCTCTGCTTCTCTGCATCTTGTTTGTTACATGCACATCCAATTTTCTCTAGAAACAGCTAAAATGGAAGGAAAGCTTAGCTCTCACATTAGCCTTAATAGAAGGTCACAGATGAAAGCAGTGCTGCCACTAAGAGGAAGCAGACACAAATAAGGCTCTCTAAACCGGTTCTCAAAATCACATCTCTCTATTTTTTTTCAAGCCAGTGTATACTCTGCAGCTGTGCTCACCAAAGAGTAACTGATGCTTTTAACTTTCTGCATAATAGAAAAGCTTTTGAGGAGCATAATATTGCAGCGCTTAGTTTTTCTAAATCAAATCCCTACAATCACAAACAAGAGAGGGGGAAAACAGATACTAAAAGGTACAAGTGGAGATTGTCCGTAAAGCTTTACAGAAGATGGTGGGCAGATGGTAGGGATTTGCAGTGACACAGCTGTTTTTAAAAATAAAGAGGTGGAAGAGGAGAAGGCACGATTACAGCTACACACACATTCCTAAGCCTGTTCACACAAGAATAAAAATTAAGCTAACAGCGGGAAACTGAAATGGGTATAAAAATTTTATCACCTGACCTTTAGAAACTTCTGATCAGCTGCACCTTCAGGTTTCTTTTCCAATCATCAGTTTTCTAAGTAAATACAAAGTAAAGCCGACAACAGAAATGCTAACCTCCAATGAGGTATTTAAAAGACAATGCCAAAATTACTTTCAGTGCCCCCAAACTTCTGTGCACAGAAGTGTGCACACATTTTTGTTGTAAGCCTTACAATACAGAAAAAAAAGTCTATTGTATCACCAAACAACATTATGCTACCTGTTTGAATTTCCCATAAAGGGCTTGAATTTTTCATTTTTTCCCCCAGATATTAGCAGATAGCAGATATAAGCAATGCAAAGAATAGTAAGATGTATGGGGTTTATTGTAGATTTAACAGCATAGGGGGTGAGGCAGGGAAATGCCCAAATTTAACAGGGTATCAAGCACTGGATATGAATATACTAAGAATAGGACATTTTTTAACTAAGCAGTAATTTAAGACATTTGATTTCATAGAAACCTTTCACTCATTTTTAATGCATGTTACCATATACGTTGCCTGCAGTCACATACAAAGCTCGTGTTAGGAAAACACTAAGAAGATTGTTTATCTACAGTGTAAAAGCCTGTCTTCCCCAGAGAATCCAATTAATCTGTTTCTTGACAACTTTGTTTACAAAACTCTCTTCCTAGATCCAAGAAATTTTACATTAACAGGAGAGGTAACACTGAAACAAAAAAATAATCTTTTGATCATGCATCATGGAGACACCTTTTTCACACTCCATCAGGTCACTTTCTTCCAAGTCTTAGTATAAACATACTCCTTGCTATCTTAAAAAATAACCAACACATCTAATTGTCTGAACATACGAGCTGGGAACCAAGATAACACAAAGGCAGCACCAAGTGGCAGCACCACTAAAAACTTCCTTATGCCTATCTCCAGAGCCACTGGTGCTGGCTTTTCCTACAGCTATTAAAACTGAATGGGAAGTGAAACCCATTACAAAAATGCACATATTCCACACATTTACTCCAGAAGCTCTCTTTTCCAAGCGTCTGGGCTGCTGCCAACCCAAAGGCAACAGCAAAGTGATGAGTGCAGGTGCTGCCTATCACACAAATATACTCGACAACCAAAGACATTTAAATTAATTTTATTTATACCAGGTTTTCAAAATCAGAAATATTTCAAAAGAAATTCAATACTTATAGACAGGTGCTACATTGATGATCTTTCATCCACCATTAGTGCCATGTTTTCACTCTACAGCCAGTAACTCACCACCACAACCTAAGGGGAACTTAAAGAAGTTTGTAAAAAAAACAGGCAGACATGAAAATTTGGTTTACACTGGAATTGGCATAAGAGAGTAAAGCTTATTATCAAATTGTGGCAATTGCTGTATTCCATTACTTGTTCAGAGAATAGTAAAGCAGAAAAAGACTCTTCCACTGAAACACTTTGGGTTTTAACTGAACATACTCAAAAACCATTTCATGACTGGACTAGGAGCGATTCTTACACTCAAGTCCATACAAATTTAAGCATTTGCATCACCACAAGCATAAACCTCACCTACTCACACTAGTATTGTACCGATTTCCCTTTTCAGAGAAATTAAACCTGTATGTCTGTACCTCTTCCAGGATTTACCAAATCAAACAATACAACTGCTGGTTTAAAGGGGGCTTTTTTTTAGAAGAAAAATACCTTTTCTGCACAAGCTACTCTCATGAAAATTGTATTTAATATTTATCAATAAAATAACTGAAGCCAAGATACCCAGAAGTCATGTCTACACAGAGACACACAAAAGATCCTCAACTTGAGAGGATTTTCCTCCACTTCTCCATCACAATGAGGCCCTCACCATTTTGCATAATGACAGAAAACAACAGCTGACAAACCATTTTGGAACAGATGCCAGCTGTCTCTCATTTGTTTTATAATTCAAACAGGAACAGTTCTGTAGCACTTTATTGGTGTGGTTTTGTTTAGCTTTTTTTTAAAGCAAGCCATCTAGATTGGACCTCACATCAGTCAGTCAGTCATTTCAAGAACAAACTGAAGGCAGGCTGATCCTTTAGGATCCAAAGCTTGTTTTGGTAGGAATCTTACATAAATACAGTTTGTGCTTCAATTTTACATCTACTTGGACTGAGTGAATATAGACCTAAGCTAGTTTAAAAAAGAAAAAAAAAATAAATGGTAACCTTTAATATTCAACTTGGAAGCCACAGACATCTTTCCAGAGTGTTTGCAGCAGAGACAAACAATAAATTTAAACACAGTACTGCTTAAAAAAGTTTACTGTCTAAAATGAACTTCAAATGCTTTATTAAAATGTAACATTTTTAGTTTTGGCTTTATCTAAAGAAACCATGTATATCTTGTGAAAATCAGTTAAAAGATCATTTCATTATACTGTACTGAATTCAAGTCAAACATAAAGCACAAAGTAGATTTTTACATTAATCTGGGCTCTGCACACAACGTGAATAATCAGAAATAAAGAGACTATTTTGAGGAATAAAAAGATTTTTTTTATATATATATCTAGACAACATGCATACCATCATTACTTCCTCAACCTTAAAAGGTACCTGAAAGGAGAGTTTTGTAGAACAAAACCAAGACTCATTAATACACTTAGTAAGTCAGTGGTCATCATGCCTTTTTAGTTAAATTCTAGGAAAGTTTAGTCTACATAGAACAGCTAACACAATGAGGTGTGCGAGTCATAGGGACAGCCAGAAGCCTGAAACAAAGTCTTAAAGTTCTACAGGACAAGAGAGCCTAAACACAGTAGCACTAGGTTATTTAAACTAGCAGGAAAAAAAAAAAAAAGAAAAATATTTTTATTATTATCTGCTTCCTTGTTGAAAAGGGGTTATGGACTGAACATAAAGGGCCTGAATTTAAAACCTCCAGAGTGCTACTCTACCAACTTTTTAAAATAAGGTAATGATAAAGAGCATTCCTTCTAGCAGCATGTACAGTTCGGCTGCAAGTGGCTGCCTAACTGCTCCTTTATGCATACCAGGAGAATCATGTCCAGTTTTGCCATTTGTGGATAACGATGACAAGATACAAAAGCATGTGTTTGCCATAAATAGCTCTGGCTAACGGAGGATTGCTCACAGAGAGCAGATCAAATTCTCTATAAGGAGAGCATTATTTGGCTCCCAGCCAAAACATGTCCCCAGTGCAAGCCTCAGTAGTGGCAAACACTTTCCAGTTCTATTTACACAGACACTAACAAAGCAGAACAGTTCATTTAGGCTATTTCTTGCACCAGGTCCATCAAAACTGAAACACTCAAGAAACAGAAATTATTTACCAGAGTCAAATTTGCGTATGGTGTAACTCTCATTACACATCTTCTTACAAAAAAAAAGATGGCAAGCTGTAAGATTTCATCAAGGTTTCACTCTGGCATGTAGAACTTTAAGAACATTCAGGTACGAAACACACTGTGTGGTTAATTACTTTGTATTTTTACACGTCTGACACAAGCGTTTCATGGAACTAATGGTCTCTAGTAGTGGTAGCTTCTTTACCAGTAAACCAGGATCGGGTCCTTTATCAAAAGATCAGAACAGAGCCACAAAGTATTGTAAAGCAGCGCCTAAATCATTACTAGGAATGAAAAACTTGCATTATTTAAGATGAAATTAATGATTGTTTATCTTTACAATACTTTCCACAGAAGTTATTTGAAATATGCTTAAATTAAACATACTTAAAAACTATTATTTTCCAATGAAAACAAGGCAACGTTCTGTAATAAGCCACAAGTTTTATTGCAGCGTGGCCAGTTTTTGATGTCAAAAAACAATGTTCCATTTAAGGCTCTTTTTAATACAGGAATTGCCATCATGACTGATGTTTTTACAGAACTTTAGTGTTTCGAGACTCACAAGGTAAACAGATAACTTCTACTCCTGTTCAGTAGTGTACATTCAATGGAAAACAAAAGGCATCGTAACAGCTACTTCGTTTATAAAGATATGCATGTAACAGGAATGAAACCGAGGTACTACAATAATTCGATGACACAGTTACAGCAACTTAATTGGCATTCCTTTAGGGGAGGAGGGGGGGCAGGTCAAACATATTACAAAAAAGTGCTTTAAATGCATAGTGTTGTGTGCTGCCATGTCACAAAAATAGGCTTGTCAAGGCAGGTGAGGTGTATGAATGCACAAGAGCCTCATGGAACTGCAATCAAGTGCAACTGTAAGTAATACTGTATAGAGTCTACCATCCGACCAGTGGACAATACTTTCAAGGCATTCAATTAGCTTACCCTTTGCTGTCTGCTAGACTATTCACATTGACTATCACATTCATTTTACATGTTGCAAGAAATGCCTGCAACGTCAAGTTTTGGCTAAGTGTATGACGTGAAAGCATTCCTTGGATCCTACATAAAACTACCAGGATTAAACAGTCTAATGGCAATCACTGGTAGACTGCTTAACAATGACATCTCCTTCAGGGGCATGAGGGAAGGGACTTATTTTTTGAAGAGGGAAGGGGATGGGGAGACTAATACTATTCCAATTGAAAGAGCTGCAGAAATGGAAGCTCCTTAGATCCAGATGGCACTTGTCTGTTCTTTTTATAAGGGTTTTCCTTCAAGTGAAACTACCACGTTGCCTCCCAGTTTCTCTCCAAGTGTTGAGCGGTCCTTAATATCATCCAAACCATTTACTTGCCACTCATGTTTAATACCTGAAAGACAGATGGACAACAATGTACTTGTGAGAACCTCAACATCTAAACAGCACTGCAACTAAGGAGCAAAAGATTATTAGGTCTGTACCTGTAAATTTCTTTTTAATGGCATCTTTAGAGCTTGCGTAGATCATCTTGCTTTTTAAAGGTGCACTTTCAGGAGCCCTTGAAAGTAAAGAAAAAAACCACAACAAAACAGTTATTCAGTCATCCAGTGTTAACTCCAGAATACTCAATTTTAACAGCAAGCTTTGCCTTTACACACCAGAATATAAATACCAGGTCTTCTTTCTTAGATTCCTTTGTCTCGTATGTGGCATCATACAAAGCGTATCGGCAATCATTCAAAGGTAGCAACTTCACAAAGGCTGTGTAGGGGTCTTCCACAGTGTCGCCAATGTCACCAACCAGTATCTGCTTTGACTCCTCTACAATTATTTGCTTTTTGTCGTCACTTAAGCAGAAGAGAACAGCTTTCTTTCTTTTTTTAATCTCCTCTGGGGTTGAAGATTTCCTTACTTTCATGTCATTAAAAACCTTTATGACTTCATCATTCACTGTTACTCCAGAAGCCTGTAAAATGAGATCAAAGTAATAACTTAAACAGCAAAAAATTAACACTTAGTCGAAAATATGGTAGCCCACACTGCTGGATAAAGAAGTCTGCCTGCCCCCGTAAGAATAAAAATACCATATTCAACCTGAACACACTACGAATTTAGTAATCTTTGTGGGACTGGAGCAGAAGATAGAAAGGTGTGCATTCTGTACTCTCTTGTTGCAGATCTCAGCCTCTCCAGCTGTGATCCTGGATAGCAGTAGTAGGCATACAACTGTACTAGTACTTCAGCAGTTTTCCATTACCTTAGAATACACTTGGCTTATTCGGGGGGAGGAGGAGAGCGGGGCGAGGGGTGGGAACTGAACACAGGAGAAGAGTTTGTAGTTTTCTGTTGGGATAGGTTTTTTGTTCGAGGTTTGTTGTTTTTTTTTTTCTCTTCGTGGAACAATCGCTACAGCAGCAGTTCACATCCAGCACCGTCATGACTCTCATTTTGTTGGGTGATGTAAGGCTCCACAAGCAGCAGAAATGTTTTCTGCATTGTGTCAGTTTCCACACCGCCCTTTAAAAACTCCTGAATTTTACTTCGTACTGCTGCACCACTATTATTCGATTCCACAAAAAAAAAAAACCCAGATACAACACACACAGCTTCCCACACGGCTCTCAAGCCGCTCAAAACCGGAGCCTCGGACGGGAAGAAACCAAACCAGCCTGGCCAAACGGGGAGCTGAGGCAAAAAGGAAATCATGCAGCGCAGCGCCCCGGCCCCGGGCCCGGCCAGGCTGCCCGGGAGGGCAGGTGCAGACGCCCGGGGACCCGCCGGCTTTGTCCC